TAAAAAAAAATTGAGCGAATTTGAATAGCAGTTTTCGAGAAATATTTAAGACTACTTAACACTTACCTGACCAAATTCGATTAGTTTTTTTTTTATTTTATTTTTATGAGCTTATAGAATTAAAATAAAAATTATTGATCAAATTTGACCAGGTAAATGTTAAGTAGCCTTCGCTTAAAATTTAGATGTCTTTAAGAAAGAAGCTGTGGCCAACTTTTTTTTAACTTTTACTGAATATTTCTCGAAAACCTGCTATCAAATTCGCTCAATTTTTTTTTTATTTTAATTTTGTGAACTCATAGAATTAAAGTAATTCTTTTTCATCAAATTCTGATAGCTAGTTGTCGAGAAATATTTGTTTAAAGCTCAAAGAAGAAAAAATTTACCGATTTTTTTCTAAGATATTTGAAGTTTTTTAAACCTTTTAACGATGATTTCTCGATAGCCACGAAACAAAATTTAATGAGCTTTTTTTATTTTAATTTTATAAAACTATAGAATTAAAATAAAAAAAATTTACTAAATTCGATCAAGTAGCTATTGAGAAATCATCGCTAGAAGTTTTAAAAAACAGACCTTCATATGACCCGAATTCTTGGATCGTCATAAGGATCGGTGGGCCGGAGGATGATCGTTGCTATCATGTGACCCGAAATTTTCGTGGTCGCCCTGGTGGATTCCTATACACACTATACGTACTGTATACTAAAAAAATCTGGAAATTATATAAATGGCACATCACTAGTTCTAATGAATGTCAAATTTTATTAAGATCTTATGAAATCTTATATGTAGCGTCTCATATCAATATAGTTAAGCTATATTTAATCGTGTGCCTGATATCTATTTAAAGATCAGAATTCAACACTACTACCTATTCTGTATCAAAGTTATTCAACAATTTAAATTAGAATTCTATTTATCTGTTCTTCAACTGTGTCATGCAGATACTTATTTAATTTCACTATTTATATATATGTAATAATTCAATACATGAGTATTAAGACAATTGATTATCTAACAGTTATTAATATAACGAATAATAGAAATTATCATTAATTTGATAAAATTATTGCATTAATATGATGATAAATTTTCAATCATGAATTTTTGATAAACTGTTATAATAAAATTATTAATATTTGGATTTATTATAGTTATTTCATATATTATGACAAATTCAAATTAATGAATTTGATTCTGCGCCCATATATTACTATTTAATAACAAATTTAAATTATTTGAATTTATCATATAACTACGTTTATATATACGATAAATTCAAATTATTCTGATTAAAAAACCCTAATATAAAATGAATATAATCAAAAAGTGTATATATAAGTGAAAGTTAAACAATGTATAATCGAGTTTAATATTTTTAAAAAATATTTATTACCTTGTAATTTCTAAATTTCTTAAATATTTACTATCAAACTTTTGACTTTTCGCCTTATTTCCAATGGAATGTATAACCTGTGAGATCATTCCTTCATTCTGCAGCAGACCTATGATTAATGTTCATAGCTATATCAATGCAAAGGATAAAAATTGAGGAGACCTCTATTATTGGTGTTGTGAGAAGTGTGATACTTTTAAATGTGGTGGATGTGCTAATACCATATTAATTGAAGGAAACCATATTCTTAGAATAACAAGAGAGCATAATCATGCTGCTAAGACGAGTAGAGCTGGCATTTAAAAATTAAATAACCAAATGAAAAAACTAGCAGAACAAACCCTTAGTCCACCATCACAAATTATTCAATCAGTTATTGCAAATAATCCCTCAGACATTTACCCATATGTTTCATCTTACGATTCACTCTGTCAAAAAGTGCGATGGATTTGACATTCAGGTCTTCCTTCTGGATCTGATTCGCTAGATAACCTTATCATTCCTGATAATCTAAAAACTACTTTAGATGGCACACCTTTCTTAGTTAAAGATTCCACTGTTGGTGATCAAAGAATTTTACTTTTTACTACAGTTTCAAACATTCAGTATTTAAGTCAATCCTTAATTTGGTTAATGGATAGAACTTTTGATGTACCAACCATTTTTCAACAATTATATACTATTCATGGGTTTGTCAGGGGAGATGATAATTCCAGGGTTTTACCTCTTGTATATGCTTTGATGTCTAGTAAGTCAGAAATATACTATAAAAGTTTATTTTAAGATTTAATAGATTTTAGTGAAGACTATATTATTTGTTTAGAGCCAGAATTCGTTTTAACAGATTTTGAGCTTGCGGCTACAAATGCATTCCAAGCAGGTATTTATTATATTATATTTTTAATACAATAACTAGTTTAATATAGGGTTACCTAATGATTTACTTATATATTGGCTAATATATATGTATAATATTTTATACTAGAGTTTATTTCTACTCAAAGCAAGGGGTGTTTTTTTCATTTGTCTCAGAATGTATATAGAAAAGTTCGAGATGCTCGTCTAGCTACTCAATATGGGACTAATGAAAGTTTTAGTATAAAAATTTGTCAAATTCCTGCACTTGCTTTCCTTTCTTCAAGTGAAATCCCTGGTGCCTTTAATGAGTTAAAAGGCCAAATTCCAGAGGAAGCAGATTCAATTGTCAAGTGGTTTGAAAAAATCTATATTTGCCGCCAAGTAAGACGAGTATCCAGAAATGAAAATGTAACATGGAGAGAACTATTATTTCTGCCTTCTTTCTAGTCAGTTTACGAAAATAATGAATATGATTTTCCCAGAACAAATAATTCTGTTGAGACCTGGCATAGAAGATGGGAAACTCTAATTGGCTCAAGTAATTTGAATATCTTTAGATTTATAAAAGAGATTCAAAAAGAACAAAATCGAGTTCAACTTGATATCACAGCTATTTTGCAAGGGGCACCAAGACCTACTCAAGAAAGACTAAATAATGCATGTGAATTACGAATTAGAACAGTCTTAGATGATCATAGTAGTAGACCATTAATAACCTTTTTAGAGGGAATTGCTCACAATCTTTCATTATAGATAGATTACTTATTATTTCTCATTGTAATTTAATTTAATATATACTATATTTATTTATTTATATGAATACTATAATTTATATTTATTATCAGTTATGTCATATTTATGTATTGTCAAATATACGTATATACATTGTTCATGCAAAAATTTTTAATATACTTATTATTTAATGTTTCTATTATTAGTACGTACGTTGTAAAGGTGAGAAATAATAGGTGATGAATATCTATCTATAAATAACCTATCTAACCACTAAACTAACAATAAATAGGATCGAAGCCATGGCTCTAAATGTGGAAGATGACGATTGAGGCGTGAAAAAACTTGGTCCGAGTAATTTAGAGCTTGGGCCCGATGGAGGCTACTTTTAGGTCGAGTAAGGTCTTCTTTTATTTCTTTGAGTCTATTAATTGTATTTTTCAACGCTAATAGCTTTATTTTATTCTTGTTATCGGGTATATTTCTTTTTTCGAGGTCATGTGTCACACAATTTTAGTAATTTCGATTGATAACCGTAATCGGTGAACAATAGTGATTTGTAATAATGACAAATTTTCGATCAGAGTTTATCTTATTTAGTATTTAAAAGGAATCTGATTACTGATCGAATATCTCTTTCTTTCTCTTGCTCAAGTAAGGTTACGGATATGGCAAAATCATGGGGACAAGAAAATTATGAATACAGTTTTATTATGAACGATTTTATGGGTACAAGGGTTTAATTATCAAAGATCTAACTTCTACTACCAAGACTTTAAAGTCAAGAACTCACACTGAGTTAAAAACTTTATTACGGTAAAAAGATAGGTCTTAAATACTTTTGACTTTTACTGCGTACATAATATTATTTTTCACTAATTCATATTACGATTCTATTTTTGAGCATCTAGATGACAAGAAGATGGTCATTTTGGCTTAGACAACCAGGTACGATTTGTACCAGATACAAAATATACCAGGTTCAAATTATACCAGGTGCAAATTGTACCAGGTTCAATTTGTACCAATGTATGAATTTCTTTTTCTAGCAACACAGAATGTTTCAACTTCGTATTTCAACAAATAATTACATATACAAAAAAAAAAAATAAAATATATTAAAAAAAAAAAAATAAAAGAAATTATTGGATCGCAGTTACTCAACTTCCCCATTACAATGTACATATTATTACTTCTTTAATCAGTACTATAGTTTTATGTAAATAATTATCGCTATTTCTTATCACTTTCCTTTATTATATTAATTAACTATGTTCTCCTATTATAAAATTTACCTTTTAATATCTAAATATTTATGATAATGATAAGTCTCTTCCAAGCCATAACTAATGATGCTTGACGAAAGTATTTTTGTGATGATGAAAGTATTTTGGCATATTTTGTCTAACAAAACCCTTGGCGATTGATGAAACCTATGGCGATTGATGAAACCTATGGCGATTTATAAAACCTATAGCGATTGATGAAATCTTTGATGTTTGCCGAAACTCTTGACGATTGATGAAACCCTCAACAAAACTTTGAAAACTCAAATTAGTTAATAATATAAGCAAGATTTTGTCAAGTCCCTTAATAAGCTTCTCTATAATGATCTCTATATGTTAACTTCACTTTTTTTTCGAAAGCAATGTTATTTTATTAT